ATATGGAATAACCGTTTTATAAAAGCAATAAGCCCCGTGAAGCCGTGGTTTACAGTGAATTTATAACAGCTAAGGGGGGTTTAGGCTTCGTGTCGTACCTAACAACGCCCCTTAACTGTTATAAATTCACTGTAAACCACGGCTTACTGCTTTAATTACCTTGATAGGTTACATTTTAACATGACCTGTTTTATGCTATTTTTGTGGGAGGAATTTCAGGAAATATTTCATGATTGTAAAGGAAAATACTAAAATAACTAAAACTCGTAAAAAATGATATAGACATAAACTAAAACTGACAAAAACACATTTAAAACCTGGTAAAAATCTATGAATATATTAAAAACTACAATAGTATATCAACAATGCTAAAAGAACAGCAAAATACCAAGTATTTCAGGACTTGAGAAAAACGACCAAAATATTCTGGGTTAAACACATTTGTCTAATAGTCAAATACCACAAAAATTGCTCTGAATTAATAAAAAATTAAAGGCTTAATACTATTTATTGATAATGACAGCATAACTTGGAACATTCCTTTAAACATTAATCTACAAATGCAAAGATTGTTCATAGCACTACTGTAAGCGCTCAGAAATTATTCCTAACAACGCCCCTTAACTGTTATATATTCACTGTAAACCACGGCTTATTGCTTTACCTTGATAGGTTACATTTTAACATGACCTGTTTTATGCTATTGTTGTGGGAGGAATTTCAGGAAATATTTCATGATTGTAAAGGAAAATACTAAAATAACTAAAACTCGTAAAAAATGATATAGACATAAACTAAAACTGACAAAAACACATTTAAAACCTGGTAAAAATCTATGAATATATTAAAAACTACAATAGTATATCAACAATGCTAAAAGAACAGCAAAATACCAAGTATTTCAGGACTTGAGAAAAACGACCAAAATATTCTGGGTTAAACACATTTGTCTAATAGTCAAATACCACAAAAATTGCTCTGAATTAATAAAAAATTAAAGGCTTAATACTATTTATTGATAATGACAGCATAACTTGGAACATTCCTTTAAACATTAATCTACAAATGCAAAGATTGTTCATAGCACTACTGTAAGCGCTCAGAAATTATTCAATGCCAACTTTGTCATTTTTTATTACAAACGCCTAAAGCATTTTGCAAATTATTATAGTATAATAGTATGTAGATAGATCAGCTGTTCAGTTACTTGATGAACAGCTCATTTGCATTTAAAGAGACACGCACAAAAACAGCATGTTAAACAAATATTACTTCAGAGTAGTCTTTTTTTTCCCGTATGATATTTCTTAAGACAAAACTTAGGAAAATGTGTGTGCTTTTAAAAATCTTAATTTCTTGGTTCATGAATTTACATTCAAAAAATGATTAAGTACTTACTATAAAAAAAAAAAAGGTTAATAGATAGAAATAGATGAAGATGCATTAGACAAGGGACAGAATAGGGTTACTATAGTTCACTAAAACTAGTCATAAAAAACAAACAAATTAATAAAACAAAATTCAAAATTAAATAAACAAAAATGAGAAATGTTGAAATATGTATACATGAAATTAGAAATTATATATATCTATATATAGAGCTATATATTAATATTTAATTTAGTTGCCACGGCAATATTTCTTTAGTTTAACTTGAAGTACAAAATAACTAAAACTGTAGTTATTAAAACTAACTAAAGTAGTTTAAAACTAAACTAAATAATAATCATGTAGACATTGAGAAAATGCTAATATAATTGACAAAAACAAAAAAGTGAGAACAGAAAATATAAAAATGAAATTTAATTCATTATTAACAAAAAATATAATCATAATGATACTAAAATAACAATCGGATCTTAAGACAAAACTTAGGAAAATTTGTGCGCTTTTAAAAATCTTAATTTCTTGGTTCATGAATTTACATTCAAAAAATGATTAAGTACTTACTATAAAAAAAAAAAAGGTTAATAGATAGAAATAGATGAAGATGCATTAGACAAGGGACAGAATAGGGTTACTATAGTTCACTAAAACTAGTCATAAAAAACAAACAAATTAATAAAACAAAATTCAAAATTAAATAAACAAAAATGAGAAATGTTGAAATATGTATACATGAAATTAGAAATTATATATATCTATATATAGAGCTATATATTAATATTTAATTTAGTTGCCACGGCAATATTTCTTTAGTTTAACTTGAAGTACAAAATAACTAAAACTGTAGTTATTAAAACTAACTAAAGTAGTTTAAAACTAAACTAAATAATAATCATGTAGACATTGAGAAAATGCTAATATAATTGACAAAAACAAAAAAGTGAGAACAGAAAATATAAAAATGAAATTTAATTCATTATTAACAAAAAATATAATCATAATGATACTAAAATAACAATCGGACAACAGCAAAAAAATGTCATTTTCATTCTTAAGAAAAATCCAATATGTTAACATTGAGAAGCTATGAATTTAGCCCCATTCTTCTAAATGTCTTAGAATTTAATCAAACTTTCCTAAGAGCTTTTGTGGTGAACCTGTTCAGCAGAACAATTCGAGATGAAGCTGCGGCGAGGAAAAGAGCTTGAGAACTAAAGTTCAATCATTCATACGTCACTTACACGTGACGCAAAAGACAAAACCATGAGACAAACCAAACAATCGACCTGACTGACAGAAGGAGCGTGAGGAAGAGTACAATCATCATCAGCAGCAGCAGCAGCAGGGAAAAACCTCAAACCTCTGGAGGAGGGAACTGAAGAAGAAGGTGAATACTTTACTTTCTGAACGGACTAGAGTTTGTCTTTCATTACCTTCCAGGCCTGCTCCAGTTCAGACGTCCATCTGTCCTTCAAAACCGGCCGAACAGCGCAGATGAACTCGGCTGCCACATACTGAACACAACCACACTTACAGTTAACCAACAACAAAACCATCAAAAAGCTACTTCAAATATAGATCAAAAACCTATTTTATTTGATATTATTTTTTTATTTATTGTATTTATGACGAAAAAACTAAATGACTAAAGCATTAAAATTAAAGTGAAAACAGAAAGAAAAAAAAACTACAATTTTATTCAAAATATTTAAAAAAATTCAGGACTTCAGAAATTAGTAGAATTTGCCATTTCAATGAAGTGATCAAACCCAGATTTCTGTGTCTTATTTGCTTCATCAGAGCTGAAGTGCGTCATTTCTGATAGAATTATGCAATCAGCAGTGCATCGATTATTACTTATGGACAAACTTTAGATTTTTGTATCAGCTGTATATTTGTTGGGTAAAATTGATCTGATCATGGAGCTTCCATCAGAAAATAAAAATAAGTAAATAAAAACGTATAATCTTTACATAAATTCACAGTGATCGCTAGCTGTCAAAATGACCAATAAATAACTAAATAAATAAATATCTATACAACAATACTATGAAAAATTTGACCAGTTATATAAAATATACATTAAAAAGGGGCAAAGGGTACAAACTGCATAAAAAAGGTAAAAAAAAAAACATCACAAAAGTTCACAGCCAAAAATGAGCTTATAAACAAACAAACACTACAAAGGACTATTATTCTATAGAAAAAAACAACAATTTACATTTTTTTTTTCCACAGAAGATCCATGATCAGAATAATTTCACCATATTTTTCACCATAAAATATACATGGGAAAAAGACAAACTGCACTGAAAAGCATCCTTTGGTAAAAAGGACTGTTAACTGTTGTTCCATAAAATAAATAAATATTATAATGATTAAATAATTAAATGCTTATTTACATTTTTTATTTTATCTATTTTTTATACATGTGAAAATGTGATGTTTTGATGTCAAAATTTTATGGAATTCAATTTTATTTCATAATTTAATCTTTTTAAAAATAATGTAAATGTATTTTCTTTTTATTTTAATAAATCCATGCACAGAAATAATGTGTTTGAAATGATTTTTTTACCCCGTAGTACTTCGGCGGCGCGTTGTAGCGGAAGTGGCTCTTGCCGAGTTCCCGCGCCAGAGTCTCTAAGCGCTCGAGCTGATCGAGTCTGGCCACGCTCTTCTCGATGAACGACATCACGCTGCAAAAACAGCACAAAAGAGCTCGTTTCACTACTGCGGTACAAAACATGCTTAACACTATGGAGTCTATTCAGGGCCAAATAGCTATATTTGCAAAAGAAAATAAAGTTTTGCAAAGGAAAATGAAAGTGAGAAAAAAAAAAGTGTTTTTACAAGCAAAAATAATTGCAAAAGAAAATGAGGTACTGCGAGAAAAAAAAAAGAAGTTTTGCAAACCAAAATAAAGAATTGCAAAATATAAATGAAACAGAGAAAAAGCAATGTTTTTGCAACACATATTTTCCATGGCCATAGCTCCTAATTTATTTGCAACGCTGCTTTTATTTTGCGTTTCAGTCAAGTGTGAGCTCACAATACTGTTTTTTCCCTTTGCATGCCTCTTTTGCGTCGTGAGCTCACACTTGACTGAAACGCAAAATAAAAGCGCCCCTGCAGCACAAAAGCAGTCTTAAGTCGCTGGGGTATATTTGTAGCAATAGCCAACAATACATCGTATGGGTCAAAATTATAGATTTTTCTTTTATGCCAAAAATCATTAGGATATTAAGTAAAGATCATGTTCCATGAAGATATTTTGTAAATGTCCTACCGTAAATATATCAAAACTTAATTTTTGATTAGTAATATGCATTGCTAAGAACTTCATTTGAACAACTTTAAAGATGATTTTCTCAATATTTAGATTTTTTTTGCACCCTCAGATTCCAGATTTTCTAATATTGTCCTATCATAACAAACCATACATCAATGGAAAGCTTATGTATATTGATGTATAAGTCTCAATTTCAAAAAATTAACCCTTATGACTGGTTTTGTGCTCCAGGGTCACATTTTTGTTTGCAAAAGCACATTTATTTTTTCTCAATACTTTAATTTTCCTTTGCAAAACTTTATTTTCTTTTGCAATACTTCAATTCTTTTTGCAAATATATTCGGTCCTGAATTGCCTCCATACTACAGCAGGCTCACTAATGTTTCCCTGAGCCCACAGAGTTGAGTGTGAATCCCAGCAAGACTCTCAGACCAATCAGACCGCGCATCTGTGTGTTTGCATGCTGTGAAGAGCGAGCGGCGCGACCTAATCATCATCATCATCAATGAGCATCCTCCTCCTCTTCCTCACAGTCCGCCGCTCAACAGCCACTTGGCCTTTAAAGCCGCGCGTGGATGTTTCCGGTAATCACAGTGCTCCGTGAGTGGATCCGATAATAACAGTAAACATCATTTTACAGACTCAAGTGTCTCTCAACATTCCAAACACTGGAAACATGTTTTATTACAGACTCACATAAACTCACACATTTGATATCAGTGCACACTGGTGTTTTAGTTGCTTGACAGCTATAAACAGATACAGTTAGACTAATGAACTAGCTAGCCTATATTAGTTAGTGGAAGACTGATTTATTCAGATTATGGTAATTAATGCATCAAACTACTGATATATATCAGTAAAAGTATAAAATAATAAATCAATAAAATTATTTTTGAAATTGTAACAATAAAAATAATACATCATATGATATACATAAATATATGCACTATATTCTGAAATGACTTTGACATTTTATATAGACATTTTAATTATTTGTGTTTTAAACATTTGTTAAAAATTAAATAAAAGTCTGATTATAATGATTATGATATTTGTAAAAAAAAAAAAAAAAAGATTATGATTCACACACACACACACACACACACAATATTTTTTAAATATATATATATATGCACACACATTTATCATAAATAAATGCTTTTCAAATTATGATGATTGCTGTATATGTAAATAAATATAAACAAAAGCAAATAAATGCACCATAATTTGAAATACATTTAAAATATATATACACTCAAACTTTTATCATGAATAAATAAATAATACAAAATATATTAGTATAAGACTAGTTTCAGATGAATGCATCAAAGTGTTGCTGATGTTTTATCAAAGCCACTTGAGGCTGAACAATGAGTCTTGTTCATGAAAAACCTTCATAAATTCATTCTTACATTGCAATTAATGTGTCAGTTTACATCGAATGGGTTCATTTAGACAGAAATGCATTCTTATGTGACTGCTGGCAGTGTAAGTTGTGTTCTACAGTGGTCCAATGTCTCTGTATTTGTGTTTGTTATAATCCTTGCATTATTAAAGCGTGGGCTCGTTATTTCTGCTCCCTAATGAACACCAGACATGATTCGCCCTTCTAATGCCTTTATACAGATGTTCTGCATTGATTTCATGAAGCACAACCACAAACCCAACAACTCCTAGTTATTTATTTATTAATTTATTTAATAATAATAAAAATCGTTTCAGTCTGTTCTGCATTTGACTTCTAGGTTTGTTTGTTTTTTGCACATATTATTAATGCTGTTGAAAAATGTTCTTGTGATGTTCCTCAGTTGTAGTTGCTTTGGATAAAAGTGTCTGCTAAATGAATGAATGTAAGTAAAGAAGCATTTGTGGTAGTTATTTGCTGATGCATACATTTATTATACTGTGGTATAAATAAACAAATAAATGTACTATATTTGTGCTAACAGGAATATATAAAATGTATGTTTTTATATGGCTGTATGAATAAATAATTGTAATATTATTAATTATATTAGAAATAATACAGTTATTTATTTCCCAGGAAATTTGAGGAAAGATTCATTGGGTTCAATGCCAACATAAGCATTTATTATATTGCTGTATAAATAAATGCACTATATTTTAACAGGAACATACTAATAAAAAATAAACAAACAAATGAACATTTTTCCCCCATGAAAATTTTAAGAAAAGATTAATTGGGTTCAATGCAATGAAAAAGCTTGTGATTAATAACAAAACATGATTTAATTTATTGACAGCCCTAGTTATCATGTGAGGGCACGCACGCACGCACGCACACACGCACACACTCTCTCTCACACACATTTTAGTTTATTTTAGTACTTCCTAATAAACAAAAATAAGAAATGTTGCCTTGACAACCAGCTGGAATTTAATGTTATTCTTTTTATATTTAATTTTATTTAAGTTTATTTTATGTCAAGTAATGAAAATGTTTTCATATTCACCATAGAATAAAAAATAAAAAAGGTATTTGCAACTTTTTCTCTCACAATTCTGACCTTTTGAGTTTATATCTCACATTGTGGATTTCTTTTCTCAGAATTGCGAGAAAAATGTCAGAATTGTGAAATATTACCTTTTTCATTTTTTACCATTTTTTATTGCAATTACCTTTTATCTGTTTTATTCCATGGCAGAAACAAAACAAAACAAGAGAGAGAGAGAGAGAGAGAAATTGTAAGAAAAAAGCCAGAATTCAGAGCTTATATCTCATAATTCAGTTTAAAGTCAGAATTGAGAGAAATAAAGCCCAAACTGATATAAAGAACTTTAAATATATTTTAACTCTTCCCTGCTAGCGTTTTTGAAAAAAGTTGCCAGCCACCGCCAGCGTTTTTGCTGATTTTCACTATAATTTCACGGTCCCCAGAATATTTTGTTGTATGAATATCTGAACATGCAACATAAAGATTAGACCCTCCACTTTCAAACAAAAAATCTGTTTTATTCTAGCTTCAAGCATTGTTTTTTATCAACACTTGAATGTATGTAGGTTTCTTAAAAAAACATTTTGAGCAAAAAGCAGAGAAAATCGCATTTTATCAAATACTACATCTGGATCATATTTAGCATTATTATTATCAAAGCAAAGATGCAGTAGATGGCTTCCATCAGCACTCCCAAAGCTTGCACACTTTCTGGATCCACATTTCACTCGGTAGCTTTAGTCAGTTTCCATGCGGTTAGTGTTGATGATCGTGTTATTTTTCATATGCATATGCTTACATATGAGATCGCTCGTTTCTGTGTCTTCCTGGTCTGTGTTTTTGATCGGCACTTTCTAGACTCATTTAGGAGATGCGAAATAGCGCCCCCTAACGTATAATTGCGAAAACACGGAAACCTGGAAAATTCCGTGTTTGGCCGGGAAAGAGTTAATAATGAATTATTGAAAGCATAAACCTTTATGACCTGCTAAAACAGCTCGAAGCAACTAAACTGGTTCAGATGGTGAGCAGCTTGCATCCTAACACTGGTTATCAGTATGTTCTGGGCATTTTATGCTGGTTTTAGCTGGTTCAAACGGGTCTAAGATCTCTGAATTTTGTTTCGAAAAAAGGTTAAAAGAGTCTCGCGTCTGATAATGTGACAGAAAACAGAGAGAATACAAATTAAAGTACTGTAGCACAACACACAAGTGCTAATAAGAGCAGAACCCTGGCTAACAAAATGTTCTAAGAATATTTGCTAACGTTCCCATTTACTTATAAAAACGTTATAAATGTTCTCTGAACATTTAAATGTTTAAAAAATGCTTTCTTGGTTATTCAAACATTAATGGAACATTCCATTGTATCATTTTGCAAAGATTATGAGAATGTTACTTTTGAATGTTCTCTGAACATTCCGAAACAAGTAGTAACATTCAAATAACATTAGACAAACATCTACCTACGTTTCAGGGGGAAAAAAGTTCCACGAATGATGTATAAATAATGGCTGCGTCCGAAAGACTAGGCAGCTGACTTGCTGCTGTATGAGGCAATGACTTTGCAGGCAGCGTTTTTGCACGAAGGCATCTCATGAAACTGATTTCGGACAGCCTCCTGAGGCAGCGTAACGGTTTAATGATCTACAACAAAATAGAACGAGTTTTGATGATAACTAAACGAATATTTAATTATTATAATACTGATTTCTCGCTAAAAATTTACATTTATGTTTACATTTAGACATTTAGCAGACACTTTTATCCAAAGCGACTTACAGATGAGGACAATGGAAGCAATCAAAATCAACAAAAGAGCAATGATATGCATGTGCTATAACACGTCTCAGTTAACTAAATGCAGTACATGTACCAAGTTTTTTAAAATTATATAATAAATAAAAAGAAAAAGATAGAATAGAAAAAGATTAGAAAAGCTAGAAAATAGAATTAGAATAGAGAGTGCTAGAGTTAGAGGGTCAAAAAAAGATGGAAGAGATGTGTTTTTAGCCGATTCTATAAGGAATTTAAAAGTCTGTGAAAGTCCGTGGTGGTTTTGTAGGCAAACATTAATGCCTTGAATTTTATGCGAAAAACCTCTTCCCTTTTGATTTCTTTCATTTTTTGATGAAAGAAATAACATCAAAAGTGCAAAAAGTTAGTCAGAAACATACATTTACAAACAAACTGACCACCAAACGCAACTTTCAGACGCCATCTTTATTTATTTTTTATCTCAACCATCACGGAATGGAACGCACAGGATTGTGGGATATCAAAGGCAGCGAGGGATACATCTATGCTGCCTTCAAAATTTGATCAGAAGAAGGTACCTCCAGAGACATGAAGTGAAGCAGAATTTGTATTCGGCATGCCTTGATGCCTTCATGCCTTGAAATGCTGCCTCCGAAGGCAGCATTTTAGAGCTTTCGGACGCAGCGAAAGTTTTTGTGATAAAGTTTTGAGAACATTATTACAGACCAAAAACTTTGAACAAACATTTTATTGAAGTTACTGGAAGAACGTTTGTTTGTAACATTGAGAGAACGTTCCCTGTTCGCTGGGATCAGATAGATATATATATATATATATACACACAGAATGACTGTGTGAATATACGTCATGGCAAATGTGCTGCTTTATAATGATCTACTAAGACCTCTGGTTTTCATAATATACACTGGAGAGGTTCATTGAGGGATGTTCCTGGTTTTCCAGACGTTCCAGATCGTGATCCACTTATCCGACTGATCCTGTCTAATCACTGAAGCTCTACTGGTTTTTCCACACTAGGAAGGGCACGACTGAGTGACCTACATCACACAAACTGACTGAGGAACATCAGCGCACTGTGAGTTTGAGGAGAATCTGATGTTCATAAATTCATAACATTCATTTGTCAGCAGCGAGAACATCTGCTGCTGAAGTAACAGATTTATTTGTGAGAAATGGTGTTTATGAAAGAAAGGAAGACGCTGCAGTTTTTGTCTGTGAAAACAGCTGTTATGATGAAGATGCATCATAAAACGCTGCAAATGAAGAGGAGGATTATCATTCAAACCTGAAGGAAAAACCCAAAGAACACTCAGTGTCCTTCATCAGAGGTCTTCTCTTCACTAACTTTCACTTTTCTTCACCGTTGTTTAGGTGTAAAGTGTTTGTGCATCTTAAAAAAAGTCTAAAATACAGTTCAATACGGTTTCAAAAATTGCTTATATAGAATTCTTAGTTCACCAAAAATAAAAAATAAAAAGCTGAAAATGTGCTCATCTCAGGCCATCCAAGATTAGGATGAGTTTGTTTCTTCATCAGATTTGGAGAAATGTAGCATTGCATCAGTGTCTCAGCAATGGATGCTCTGCAGTGAATGGGTGCCGTCAGAATGAGAGTCCAAACAGCTGATAAAAACATCACAATAATCCACAAGTAATCCACAGCACTCCAGTCCATCAGTTAACATCTGGAGAAGACAAAAGCTGAAACAAATCCAGTATTAATCCATCAGCTTTTGTCTTCTCCAGATGTTAACTGATGGACTGGAGTGCTGTGGATTACTTGTGGATTATTGTGATGTTTTTATCAGCTGTTTGGACTCTCATTCTGACGGCACCCATTCACTGCAGAGCATCCATTGCTGAGACACTGATGCAATGCTACATTTCTCCAAATCTGATGAAGAAACAAACTCAATTTCTTCAGTGATAAAGATTTACTATTTTACCTGTTGTTGTTTTTCTAGTGTAATTTTTGGTGAATTTAGTTTGATTAAGAATCCAAAAACAACAACAAAACAAGCCACAGTCTACAGTGAGGAGGAAGAGCAGAGAATGACATCAGTGCTCGTTTCTTCTGGTCTCCAGTCGAACAATAATGAGTTTCTCTGGCGGTTCAGACAGCGTTTGTCACAGCCGGATCTGAAACCTGGAATAGAAGCTCCTCGGAGAAACACACACACACACACTTACACTCACACTCTCACACTCACACTCACACTCACACACTCACACGGATTTACAGAAGATGAGTCTGATATTTACAGTATCTGGACACTTACTGTAAATCAAACATAAAAACATCAGAATGTCATTGCATTAGAAACGAAACATCACAGATGCACAAACACATTTTGAAATGATAAAACATCTGTATTCAAGTCATTGCCTGTATCAAATGCATTTCACTTTAAACCGAACACAATTAAAGCTCTTTTTAAAGATGCTCATGTACATCATGCTGTTGCATCGTATTCTATATTTTTTAGGGTGTAATAATTTACGATACTTAAAAATATTTAAAGGAAGATGACTTTTTAGAAAGTATATTTTCATAAATACACTGTTGATATATTGAGACAACTTGCCCCACTATACGATGAACATGTTATTAAATGAGATAAATACATTTATTTGAGTAGTATTATTGTAAACTAAATTAAGGTTTTGTAACTTGAAATAAAAAAGTTAACTGAAATAAAATATTTAAAAACTTAAACTTTTTAATTTCACCCCATTTTATTTCTCATTTTTGTTTAGTTTAGCTTACTAAAATAACTCAAACTAAAATAAAAATGAATAAAACTATTCATTTATATAAAAAAGCAAAAACTAACAAATATGACAAACACACAACAAAATTACAAAAATTGTAACCTAAGTTGAAATGAAAACAGAAAATATATAAATAAAATGTATTTAACAACTATATTATAAAAATGATACTAAAATAAAACAATAAAATATATACAATATCTCAATACAAAAATACTGATATATTGAAGTTCTATACAGTATATATATAGTTAATATATAGTTTGAAATATATATATAATGTGAAACTTTTCAAATGTATAAATGAGATTGTGTTTTGCAGATTTATCTTCATAATAATAACAGCTGTTTCACACACAAACTGCAGCGTTTCACAAATCAATCCCTTACATCAGCAGCAAATGTTTCCTGACAAATGAATGTGTCCTAATGTGTTCGGAAAGAGTTATATACTTCTATAGCAGGTTTGTTTGATGGATACATCACTGCTTTTGTTTATCCATTAATTATAATACCAGGAAAAAACGACTATGGTCCGTAATAAACCCAGAAAAGACTCAATTTACTGACAAAATGCTAAAATAAGCTGACAAGAGATGCTTGCTTTCACAGTCAATGTTTAAAAGTCTTTAAGAGTCAGAAAGGAGAATGAATCAATACATTAAGCCACAATACCAACACAATAATGAGAGCCGCTCAGATGCAGATCAATAAAACAATCAATGAAATATTAGACAAACTCAATGAGACTCAAAGAGACCTTCAACCTTTCGCAATCACTGGATATTTGATGCATTCAAGTCACTGTCTGAATGAAAAGCATTTCACTTTAAACCAAACAGAATTAAAACTCTTTCTAAAGATGCTCATATACATCTACAGAAAGTCTATAATTGTGTATTTTAGCACAAAAGAGCTGTGGTGCACCTGATGTTCATGTGCATATTAATAGATCATCAGCTCTCTAGAGACGTGAAAGCTGCTTCTGAATCATTATTTTCACCAGATTCAGTACTTTTTTTTTCACTATTCTGCTTTGCACATTGTACTTTTTCATGATGCATGAACCGTAACCAAGAGGAAAAACTCATTATATTCCTTTACAGCGGCACAGATCATCGGAGTCAATCTTTCAGATGGCATTTATCAACATTGATCTGAATGTTGTCTGCTAAATCTAGCCATTAAATAGACTGTAATACATTACAACATGTTATGGGAGATGACTAGAAAGTATATCATATTTCAGTAAGTAGTTGTAAGTTCAAGTTGTCGATACGTTGTGACAATTTGCTCCACTATAGGATCAACATGTTAAATGAAACATGTTAAAAACACACACACACACACACACACACAGTAGTCAACATTTGAAGTGAATCAAAACTTTTCATCAAAGTTGTCCTAAAACCGTTCTTGTCTTAGGACAACTTTGATGAACTTTTTTGATCCACTTCAAATGTTGACTACTATATATATATATATAAACTTTATTTTTTATTTCAGCATTTTCTTTTTTTTTTGTTTTTGTTTAACTTGAAGTACCAAAAGAACTAAAAGTGAAATAAAATTAATAAAAACTAGACATTTTACATAAATTAAAAAGAAAAATTCATTTCAAGTATAATAAAACAATAATAGTTTACAAATGATAGGCTACTACAATACACAATGTATGAATGCATATATATAACTATATATAATAGCTTTACACTGTCAAGAGACCATACAATATTACTTAAAAATAAAAATAAATATATAGCTAAGCCTGAAGTAAAAAGCGTGACAAGCCCGGTCTGTATTACTCCAGTTCGGTTTGGACGAGACATTGTTAAATATTAGTCAATGAGCTGATCTGATACAAAACATAAACAGGTATCAAATATCACTACCACTTAGAAACATTCAACGTGCAACACAATGATTTGTTCTCACTTTAATACATAAGCTGAAACATGCATTTTCTGGAAAGCTGTTTTAAATGATTGTATTACGAAAGGCGATCTACAAATAAACCGGAGTTGAGTAAAATGCAATAATTCACAAGAAAATTCTCACCGGACAAACATGATTATTCCCACTTTGGCGATGTCCTCCTGGATGACTTTCCAGGACTCTCTGATGAGCTGGATGTGATCCGGAGTGAGTCTCGCTGGAGCTTCGTCCTCGGTGTGTCTGCTCTCTGCTGTTCTCGGTGTCAATCCGGATCCAGAGATCGCGCAGCCCATCCTGACGCCAGCACAACTCCCTCAGCTCTCAGATAAACCGCTGCTGGTTAGCTGTCTGTCAGTCAGCTGGTCGGGTTAGTTGTTCTGCTTCTCCATGACTGTCCAGAGTCAGACCAGAGAGAGACTGAGAACCTGAGACCTGCTCCGCGTGAGGGGAGGAGTTCATCTTCATCATCATCATCATCATCATCAATCAACAACATGTAAAAGATCCTTTGTAGACCCTTTTTAGTCTTTAACTAGGCCTACAGTATTAATGAAAAATCATATAGATATTTTCAACTAATTGCTTAATGTCAAATAACTCTTAACACTTTCTATGATGGTTGTGCAAAAATGTATTCCTATAAATATTGAATAATAGATGCATAATGAATTATACAGTTTCACGATTATGACAATATGCAAAGGTATAATGAATGCATATTGTAGTTTCTATCTAATCTATTCTAGTACTGTATCTCTTAGGATCATGTGACAGTAATGATGCTGAAAATTCAGCTTTGATCACAAGAATAAATGTATATTCATATAGAAGACAGTAATTTGAAATTGCAATAATATTTCACAATTTTAATCGAATTAATGCAGCCTTGGTGAGCAGAAGAGACTTCAAAAACAAAAAAAGGTAATTATTCCAAAATTTTAACCACTAGTGTGTTGATCCAGGAGGATTGTCAATGTAATAAATGCCTGGAAGTATATTCATTCATTACACAGTCATACTTGCTTTCTTTCAAAAAGGTATATGCCTCCATATATCCATTCAAAAGGTGATCTGCAATTCAGGACGATATTAAGGCTGCTTTTCAGCTCCTTCCATGCAAGTCATTAATCATATCCACGTCCTGAAGACGGATTAAAAAGTGCAGAAACTAATTAAACTGTAATACGCCCTCAAGTCATGCGCAATCATTTTGATAAAGGCTTCTGAAAAGAAAAAGAGAAACAAAAACCAAACACAGAAGCACTGCAAGCAGGACAAAGGAAATCATGTTTAAAGTATGGAAAGTTTCTTTTAATGTAGTATATCAGAAAAATAGGATATGAACTGGATATTTTTACACAGGTATTGTGCATCATATTTACACCAAATCAAATAAAAAAAGTTTAAATATACAAGATAACAGTGACATCATGCCCGGAGATAAACCCCACCAATGAGCAGAAAAATACAACCAAAAATAAGATAGCTTATAATATATCCCATTAAACGTGACCCAAAACACATTTTGTGACTGTGTGCATTATACGTTGCTCAAATGACGTATCCATTAACTTGAATTACCTCATAATGCTCAAAAAGCAAATTCTCAGATGAGTTGGAATCACATCTGACCTTTAAACAATTAAAAATCAGCAACAGTAAGACAGCACAATACGTTGTCAAAAAAAGAGCAGCATTTTAATTTGACACCAAACATTCAGTCAAACGGAGCACTATTTGACAATTTTAAACTGTACTACACACCCAACCGAAAACATTCCAGATTGAAAATGACATCAGTCTTTGTCACTGTTTATCATTCATCAGCCTAATCTGATTATGATTTCCAGTTTTCTCCTCATTAGTGGGGAATGACGTCTTTATGAGATTACCCTTATTCCTCTGGTCAGAGCTTGAACACAAACAGTGAAGAGACATCAGGCAATGCCTTTCAAAATAACTAACATTGCATTTAATATTGCAGTGCTTTTCCGGAAACATGTGAAAATGTGTACATTAATAAATTTCTAACAAAAATAGGCGCATTGGTAACTTAGTATGCACTGACCTGTTATATATTCTTCCTTATTGCTTTTTTTTTTTTTTCAAAATGTCTGGAAGAAAAAATACTTATTTAACCACTTTTCCAAACATTACCAAAAAACTTACAGTACCACAGTTAGCTCCTTTAACAAATGTTTACATCTCAATGAAATATACACAGGAAAACTCTAATATACATATATTTACAAATGCAAATTTCATAAATATATTCTCTGAGGTCCATAGGCATCCCTTTTCCAGTTGGTTTGGACGACATCTGCTGATAATTCATAACTGGAATTGAAGAGTCGTGCTTTCTTTCCAAAAACACAGAACACCAAACCTGTGTAAGACTTACTAAGCCTCTCAAACAGTGGCCAAATGACATATTTTGGAGAGAGGAATGCTAGCTGTAAGATATTTTAAGATTCTGAGTGTTAAGAGTAAAAATGTTTGCGTTATAAGTCTCACGTATAAGAACTCAGGTTCTGAAATTTATCCCGCAGGTTTTTAACCAAACTATGTTGACTGTTCTCGGCTTTTTCCATCCATTCACTAAAGTTGTGCTCTTTACTGTTTGCCATTGCAAATTCAGATTGTGAAACCATTGCTAAATCATCCTCTTCATGCTTGGCCTTGCAGATCCTCTCTACTACAATGAGGTTGTTCTCATCTTGACCAGCGTCGCAACCTCTCTCCAGCTGCTCATGTGCATTAGTGGATCCCAAGCCGAAATCAAATGCATTAACTCTACACAGCGAAGGCAAACCTTCACCTTCAATGGTCTTGCTGGAACATGTAGAATCTATGGATGTAGTTCTCTGCACTGTGATATTGCAGAAAGGGGATGAACAAGACAATGAACACGATGCTCCGGATCTCTCCGATTCAGTCTCCAAAGCTCTTTCTGAAAATGAAGTACTGCGACCCACTGGGAACGGACGAGGGGAAGTGGATGCATCATCTTGCCTTTGGCTGTTATATTTGGAACGCAACTCTTTGACATCCGGCCAGTGGAAGGTCTCAGTTTGTACAGGACTTTGTGGTCTCTGAGCGTATAATCTGCAATTGAGGAACTGAGGACTTCCAGGAGAACAGAGGCTGGAAGGTGGACTAGTAGTCGTAGAGTCCGGGATAAGGTCCTGCTCATTCAAGTTCAGCAACAGTGGCTTGTCAGGAATGCCTGTGCACAAAAGAGCTGTGGTTAAAAGTCTGCTTTTGACAAATAAAAGTACTTTTACAATAGAATTTACCAGAGAACACTGCAAATCCACTGATTTCTAAAGGGGATGGTGGGATGCAAGGATGTAGAGCAAGGGTGTCCAATCCTGGTCCTGGAGGGTCAGTAGAGTTTCGCTCCAACTAGCTTAAACACACTTACCTGGAACTTTCTAGTGAGTACGAAGACCTTGATTCAGGTTCAGGTGTGGGTGGCAGTTGTGTCCTAATGATTAGGGAGTCTGACTTGTAAACCGAAGGTTGCAGGTTTGATTCTCAATACAGGCTCGATTTCGAGGTTCGATTCTCAAGACCGGCAGGAAATGTAGGTTGGGGGAGTGAATCAACAGCTCTCTCTTCCCCCTAAAATACCCATGACTGAGGTGCCCTTGAACAAGGCACCAAACCCCCAATTGCTCCCCGGGCACCACAGCAAAAATAGCTGCCCACTGCTTCGGGTGTGTGTTCAAGGTGTGTATGTGTGTGTTCACTACTCACTGCTCCTAATAACTTGGATGATTTAAATGCAAAGAACAAATTCCGAGTATGGGTTACCCTTGGGTTACTTCCCGGCACTTCATTTATTCATTCTTTCATTTAAGTAGGGTTGGAGCTAAACTCTGTAGGATAGTGTCCCTCCAGGAACATGTTTGGACACCATCAGGGGTAGAGGAATTACCCAAGGGTTTGTCTAAATGATGATCATACAACCACAACTTTAACTGCAACACACTCTGATATAGGAATCCATTAACCAATGAGAACATCACACAGGCAAATGTACTTGTGCATTGGGAATTCATTGTATTCCCGCTTGATTTCAATCTGGCCCACCTCTATCCACAACCTAAAAATGGCTCTGATGGAGCATTTGATGGATAGGAATGTACAAGATCCATTTCTAGTGTCACGCCTTTAAGCAAATAAGTGGGATACCAATGGTCTAGATTGGTAACCAAAAAGCCAGTGGTCCCCAATCCTGGTCCTGAAGGACTCCCAACACTGCATATTTTAGACGTCTCCCTAATCAAACACACCTGATTCAACTCATCAGCTAATAAGACTCCAAGACCTCAAATGTATGTCTCAGATAAAAGAGACATGAAAAACGTGCAGTGTTGGGGGTTCTCCAGGACCAGGGTTGGGAACTACTGAGCTACGCCATCAGACAAGACACTGCAAGTTGGGAGATTGTCCCTCAACTAAAAGTGAACAGTCAGTTTGGATAAGAAAGTGTCTGCAAAACAAAAAATGACAGAAGGAACACCACTTAAACTTAGCAAGTGTCTACTCAGACACTACACCCACCTTTCTCTTTTCCTGGAGGTCTCTCCTCCATGACCGAAGACAGGTTCTTGGGCACGAAATGGTTCTCCAAGATCTTGGGCCTCTGCCTTACTACCGGTCTGTTGTTTTTGATACGCTGACTGTAGTGCCTGGCCAACTGGAACACCTTATTTTTCATTTTCTCCATATCTTGAAGGATGAGTTCATCCTCACTGGCAGACCTTAAGGAGATGATCTTTGGTAGAAGAGGGTGGTTGACCTTGTGCTGCTCTTGTAACTTGTGTTTCTCGTTTGGATGCCTCTGTAACTCTTGCATCTTGTCCTTTTCTAAGACGTTGTTAATTGGGGGTGAGGTAGAGCTTTCATCGGATTCTTCCAATATTACCAGAGGTTCCCCAAGTCCACTATCCAAGCTCACCTTACTGGTTTCTGCTTTCTTTTCTTCACCAGGTGTAGTCATTTGGGAATTCTCTGAGTCCTGATGTTGTTCAGAAGTCCCAGTTATCTCCATTTCCATGACTTGCCACACTTTAACCATGTCAGATGCAGGCTGGAATTCCTCATTCCCACTTTGATCTCTAAGCTTGGACTCTTTGCCATTTGCAGGGACCACAAAATCAGAGCTATCCTTTGCTTTCTTGTCAACCCCCAAGCCTGATATATTAAAGACAGACCATAAAGTTGGCCTTGTGATGGAAAACGCCCTCTTATGCAATGCCAAATCCTGGTCTGCAAGGTCATCGAGTTGTTGGCTCAGATTACGGACTAGGCCTGC